CCTATACCCACTTAATGTGAAAGTAGCCCCCCCCCCCCCCCGGGGGGACTCTACTAAGACACTCTTGCCCGTCAAACAGTTCTGTGGCCAAGAGATGAATATACACATTGTGCTATTGGAAATGCAAATGACTCTAGCATTTAATATGATTGAGGAGTGTGGCCAATCAAAATAAATAACATACTAAGTCAGTTATGAATGTAATACGGCTGAACTTTGATTCTATACAAACACTGAAACAGTTACAATTTCAATTTTAGCGATTGATAAACTTTGACCTGACGTTTCTCATTTTATTCAGCCACGCTTCTGGATTATTTAGAGTAACACTAGCAATTAGCGGGTCAGGCGATCATCGATACAAACTTACGGTAGCGGGTCCAAGTCCAAGTGCATTGCAGCACTCGTGCAGCAACACCAATACACACTCACCTTTAAACTCTAGTGGACGTGTGCCCTCTATCGGTGAACTTTGTTGGTGAACGTACTCACTGAGGGCGCTTTATCCCAATCCGTCGTACTTCCACGGAGGTATTATAATACCTCCATGGTATTACCAACACAACAAACTCATTATATTTATATATATAAATCAAGTGCGTTAGGCAAAAGTGCTGGATCAGTGATACATTCTGCTTTGAAAGACTTAAAAAATAATATTCATATTAAATATACACACACTAGACACTACGCCATTATATCTATATGTAATTTCCTTACCAATATGACACGTATTAGATAAATTGAGAAAGTCGTAAGTTATCAATAACACATGAGTACAAGAGAGTTGTAAAACATATTTAACAGCGCCGCCATCGATGAATTATGCGCGCTTCCACTTCGCGATTGCGTGCGCGTCTGTGTTCCGCTATAAATGAGAAACTTCCGCTAAACTATAAAATAGACGTCTTCGTTTTATTTACTATGTTTTGGAATAACATTTTTATTTATGTTTAATGGTCTCAATTGTCGTGATTGGAATGATATTATTCAATGTTCTGGTATTTCAAGTTTACAGTCGTTCTGAGAATTATTCGGACAGTCAGTTAGCAAAATGACTTGCAACTTTGCAAAACACTTTCGTCTTTGCCCAATCTAGACTTGTCGGCGCCACTTGATTGACGGGCGCGTGGTATGGGATTACTATTTCATAGGGGTTGTCGGCAGGGTGATTTGCAAGTATTATCTAGCTTGCGTTTACAGCAACCATTCTTTATTTTTTATATTTAAATTGTAATTATTTTCAGTAATTTTAAAAATCACAAGTTAGGTGTTACGGTAATTAAATTTGTCGAAAAATGTCAACCCCTCGCTCATTTTAGTCAGTTGAAAAAGTGATTAGCTCAAGGAAGGCACTTTTGATTTGACAAAGTCCATCAAACCGGTATAATCGAGTTTTTCGTCCGTGTATCCCTGACGTACTCTCCCACTTTGGTATAAAATTTGAATTGGATACATAATGCACCAGTAATGTAAAAATAACTTTTAGTTTGGCCTAAAACTGTCGCGAAACTGCAGCAAGTCCAGCTAAAAAACTTTACTTTGAGCCTTCCCGCCAACGACGAGTTCATTGATACGTGGGGTTACTCAACACTTGGGAGTTGTTTGTAAATGGTCAGATGGTTATAAAAATTTAAAATAATACTTTGAATGCATATACAACATATGACCTGTTAATATGTGGTAACTAGCGCGTGTCGTTTTGAGAACAGCGTTTTACCCGCATCTAGCAAGATAATGGAATGATCCCAATTGTGGGCGTGTCAATACAACGACGCCAAGTCTAGATTGGAAAAGACCCAAGTGTTTTGCAAAGTTCCAAGATATATTGCTAACTGACTGTCCGAATAATTCTCAGATTCTCTGTAAATATAAATTTGGGGAGCTCTCGAGTCAATCATTATTAAATTTTAGATCTGTCTGAAGACGACTGTTGTTTTGCATTACTTCAATGATGAAGTTTTATTTTAGCTTGAAACTATAATACAGAGAAAATTGTGGTAAGTACACAATCTCTTAATGGAGAAATGTTTACTATGTGCCAAGAAACCTATGCAGGATTAAAGGAAACAAGTATTGAGTACTAGATGTGATATTAGATGAGATACAAAGTCACATGCCACACTTAAACAACGCTGCGTATGGTTTCAAAACGAAGTAGACGCATAACTCCAAATCTGAGGTGCCCTCAAACATACTGCATTTCTGATTTTCCTATGTTTTGCAAAATATTTGCTTCCCATCATGTTTCCTCCAAATGTAGATATTACAGTACGCAACAAATGTAGACGAAAATAACCCATTTTGTACAGCAAATTTTTCTGTAGATGAATGTAGACTATTGTAGTTTACATGACCAAAAAGAATGCTTGTAAATGACATGGGCAATGTACATATGTATATACGTATATTGTAGTGACAACCCCGAAATTACATACTGTGAACATTAGACAACTAGTGGTATATGCAGGTCATGCAAACATTAGCTGATCAATTAGGGACTGGACATAAGTTTCAGGGTCATTTTATGTACGCATGCAAGCACCTCAATACCGCCAATTGCGCTCTAAACGATTTTCAGTTTATCTGTATGCAATAACAAATGAAAACAAATATAGGGGTTTGTACTCGAAGACATCTCATTCTTGGACAGAACTGTGTGAAAGAGTATATGGAATTGTTTTGAAAAAAAAAATGTGCGTCATGCATTTCATTAACAACCAAGAACATAGTTGCTGGTCTAATGAACTAGGTAAACAGCACTATCAAAATTCACGAAAGAGAAATTAAACTTAAAAAACTTTCCAACTTTGTGAAATATTGAGATATTAAACATGTTAGAAGATCCCTCGCTCTAGGAACAGACTAACACTCATTCACACGGGTTCCGTTTGAAGTGCTGTCATATATGACTTAAATGATATACATGGTTTGTGTTGATTGATTGCTTATGCAGTAAAAGAATGAAATCACTGCATCTGAAATTGAGACAAAGCATCAGCAATGTTATTACTTGTGCCCATGGTGCGAGTGACCAGGATATGGAAAATGCAGCTTTATGACAAATGTCATGAAAGGGATGTTGGTTACATTTCTCACTATCGCCATCAAATAGAACCCTATTGCCATGACATGAATCCCACCAAACTAAACTCGCGAAAAGTATTCAAATCATTTACCCGACGCAAGGCAACATTTTAACCAAAAGAATTTAACAAAGGTAATGAACATAGCGAAACCCAGTGAGCCCCTTGATAAGTGTTTTAATGCAATTGTCCTCTGCAATGTTCTTACCCAAACTAATAGACAACACCGTGTTGATCTGATATTCCCCAATCTGGTTGGTGCTTTTTTATTAGTATTATCTATGTGGCAGAGAAAAGCTATCAGTTGACATAGAAGGAAGGTACCAGTGGCTCCTGTATAACTGATTTGAAACTTGAGCATGGTATTAGCTGGCCCTTCTGAAAAGCCATGGCTCAGTCTGCGCATGAGCATACCTTATAGACATGAAGATTGAGATATTTTTTTTTAAAATCAATGCAGTGTATTGGTGTAGTATATACCATATGATACCACATGTTGTTTAGCGATATTAAAGAATATAATGGAGAACTTCTCGCTTGCACACCAACTGAAATTACAACTTAATTTGTT